CAGGTTTCAACCAGTTTCTGATCACTTAAACTGGTTTATGCATAATTTCTGTCCCTAGCCTAGAAGTCCATGGTTATACAATATTGGTTCCTCAAAGCAGCTGAAAGTCGTTCCATCTTCCTTGTGCTGAAAGATTTACTGTGTTGTAACCTTGCAGGGGGAGTGTCAGGGAGGTGCTACCATGGTCTCATGATCTCAGTACACTTTTTCCTACAGTGCAGATGGTCTTTTGCCTCGTATGCAGTTGGAGAAGGTGTTTAGAATACAGATAATGTAAATACATTTGTAAATATGCATTCATAACATTGTTATAGCTTAATGTGTATCTTTTTGCCCCCCGGGGCTCCAGTTAAACTCTCCCAAAGTACACATTATTCTCTTATTGCATTGTTATCACACACAGTAAATAATTGCAGGGTTAGTAACTTGTGATCAGAGTATTCGAACCTTCAAGGTTTCACGTTCCTTCAAAGCAGCTCGTGTGACCAAACCTCAGTGCAGGATACTAAATTAGATGGATCACTGAATTCAGCACAGTAATCTCTGAATTCACCGAGGCTTTTCACAGAGGCAGGGATTTGTCCGTAAAAGGCAGCTTGCAGGCTCCAGTTGAGAATTTACAACCCTGCTTGTAGTTACCTTTGCCACAGACTTAAACTTCAGGACCAAAGCTACATCAGTTTTGCTGTGGGTGTAGTTTTGCTCCTTATCAACTTGAAACTGTTGAAATATATACTATAGAAGCTAGTAAAATAGCACAAAACAAAATATGTATATATTGTTGCAATATTCTATGCCAAAATACAAATGGAGAAGAGATAAGTGAGCTTTAAAGCTGAAAAAATATTCCAGGTTAACATTCCTCTTACTCTGTCATCTCTGAGGACTGACCAATATAGGAAGTGTCTTGCATGAATAAATTATATTTCCATTACCAGTATTATGTTTATTTATAAATAGAGAGTCATGTCTAATAAATTCTGAATTATTTGCCAGTGTGGGTAAAGCATCCATAACTGTCCTAGGATTATATACTGCAGCATATGCAGCCTGTTAGCAAATGTTAGACACACTACTGAGCGGAGAAAAGCCTCTTTTATTAATATAGGCTATTATACAAGTAGAAAGAATTTTATATGCTATGCTTCCTAAAGGATGACAAACCAGGAGAACCTCAGTTAATGATCTGTGTGCACTAAAATACCACATTTTGTCTCTTTACAATAAACAAGGTAAGTTTTTTTTTTTCTCTTGAATCTGCTGAAGTAAAGTCTTCATTTTTCAAATCCAAGTGGTTTGTGCTAAACCTAAACAGTTTATGTGAAAATGAACCTTTCGTTATCACTTTTTTTCTCTCTTTTGAAAAAGATGTGATCCATGTGTTCCCAAAAGATCACAGAGATTGTTGAGGCAGAATTATGAACCAATTTTAAAAGATGATTCAGTAACAAGTGCTTTCCTGTTTTAATCCCTCCTTTTCTGTGGCTTTGTTCACACCTCTGTCGTGTGCTGTGGTGTGTGTAGATATAACACCCTGCAAGTTAGAGCAAGGAAATGATTCTAACCAGGATGAGCACCGTTGCCCTCAAGAACAGATCGTGCGTGTCAGTTGTGCCCCCTGACTCACTGAAACATCTAATCTCAGAATAAATTATTGAGTCTCAGAAATCGTGCATGTGAAAGTTGTACTGAGTATTACCAGTTTTCAGGTGATAAAAAATGAATGATACATAATATTACACTAAGGCTTTTGCAGCACTTAACGTGGGCTGAACTAAGGATGGGTCTGTATGACATAAGATGGTGTTGGGCAGAGATACCAAGGCTGGCTGGATCCAGACACACAGACATGTGCAGCTTGTGGCACCGCAAACCTCTGTGCAGCGGGACAAACCACACGTGTTGCACATTAAACCATGTCCCCTGCTGCTGATTTGCAGCACTGAGGCAAAAATTGCTACCAGGATTTTCTGGTAGCAAAAAACAAACAAACCAAGGTCTGTGGGAGGAAAAAAAAAGTAGGGCATAGCACACCAAAGTGCCATGTGCTGGGACAAATGTGGAGACAAGGGAACAGATAGCCCAGGGCCGCCTGCTCTCCTGTCTCTTTGTGCTACTGAGGCACCCTGTGCTCCAGCCAGCTGCTCCCCGGCTGCTTGGGGTGCAGTGTGCCTTGAGATGAGGGAGCATGCAGCCCTGGGATGGCTGCTTACCTGTCTCCATGTGCCTCAGCCCAGGGGCTCCACACTGAGGCACATGGAGCCCCTGTCTCTAGGTGCGCTGTGCCCCAGTCCACAGCACATGGAGTAGCAGGAAAATGTGTCCAGCTGCAAACTGCACGGGCAGGGGCATGCAACTGCAGCACAAAGTAGTTGCACAGATTTGTGCCGCTACTATTTGTGCTGCTGCAAACTGCACTGCCCGCTTGTGTGGATGCATCCACTAGTTCTAAATGAGCCAGACCCAGGACCAGAGGTAGTAAGCCTATGTGAGTGGGTGCTCTAGCCAGATTGTTATGCTATGTTGAGAAATGTCCATGGGATCTTGTGCTAATGTGGCTATGTTGGGTGCAGAAATTATCCCTCTTGTCATTTTTAAATTAAAATATATTTCTAGAGGTGCCTTGTTAAAGGGTGTTGCTGCGCCAGTCGGGGTCAGACTAATTGCCACATTTGGGGTCAAGAAGGAATTTTACCCCATGGTCAGACAATGTGGGGAGGTTTGTCTTCCTCTGTAGCAGGGAAGCATGATCCTCTTCCTTGAACCTCTTGAGTGTATTTGACACATTTCTAGTGCCCTCACCCTTCTACTTTACCTGCTGCAGGAAGTCCCTTCTAGCCCTATTATTCTGTGATTCTGTCCTTCTGGTGTTTGTAACATGAGAGGTCTTTAGGTTTCTCACTGTAGCGTAGATGTATTGGAGCAGTGGTCGGCAACTTTGTAAGCCTGAGCAGAATTGACCCATTTCGGGTCAGAGGCAGATGGATGACTGCTAGGACCCAGCTGCTGCTTTACTCAGCAGCAGCATGGGAAGATCTTTCTGTGGTAGCTACCGTGGCCCAGTGTCCATGGGATATAGGCTGGCAGCCCCTGTATTAGAGAATGCTTGTGAATTGTCTGACATACCCTGTATGGTTTTGTTTTAGGCAAAGCAGAACATCCTAGCCTATGGGCATGCCTGAATTGGAAAACTTTGTCCCTGGGACTTCCGTCAGCTGCAAATATGTTGCTAAAATATATGCACAGTTGATGGCTTTTCTTGATGCTGTACATCCTCCTTGGCAGAGGTTGTCATTAGAAGACCTGGCCCACCATGGATAGGAACCCAGAGCTAATAGCTGCCGACACTTATGCCTCAAGGTACACTTTCACACTGGTCTTTGCTGGTGAGGCTGTCAGCTTGTGGTTTTGCTTAGCTGGCCAGAAACTGGGTTTTGCTGATTTACATCCATTTGCATACAGGCAAATGCCAGCCTGCGGCAACAAAAGGCAAATTCTGTTGATAAAGCCATGTACTGTAGATCAGGGATTATCTTCACCTACAATAATTAGTTCAAGTGAGAGCACAAGCAGCATTCAAGCTGTACAGTATATTTGGCAGAGTGGCTGCAAATACCATTTTGAGTTGTTATCTCATCACTACATTGCAAGTTTGAGCTTCAGTAGCATGAGCCACCTTCCTTACAGACCAACTATCTTGAGTTAAAGCCCCAGTTAACTCAAGATAGGCATTTTTGTTTAGTGATAGGTGTCAAGATTAATGGCAAAACATATATTATAGCTT